TAGTTGTCTTTATAGAAACTGTCTTGGCACCTTTCAGATTGACATTTCATCATCGTCTTCTAATATTCAGGTGTGGGGTCAAGAATATCGTCTCGTAATCATATCATTACTTACAATTGTTTACAAAAAAGTACAACATACTGCTGAAAAACTAGTTGATTCCTACTTTATTATTTTATGCAATTTTCACGCATAAAACGTGTATCTGCTTTATATATGCCACCCACCTACTTTTGGGGCTTGGAAATTTTGGAAAAAAAGGGTGGCTATCCATCTTAGGTCCAATTTGTATGCATAAATAATGGCTTGTAGGGCCACAGTGTCTATTGGTACTTTCAATTAATCTCTTTATTGTCAATAAAGTTGACGCCATTCCATTTATCTCCATTGAATTTCACGTAGCTTTGCTTCCCAAAAGGTATTCTCATCCATGCGGGGTTGGGCTATCACGTCGACCTGATAATAACAGACACAACTTTGCCTCGCTGACGAGGCCAGGACAGAAAGAATTGTGCTCAAAGTGTGGCCATAGCAGCAAATCGCTTTTCCCGCCACGACTCGGGCGCACTCGTGGCAGAGTGGCGTCGAGGCCGGCCTGTCGAGACTGCGCGTCGACTCACCTCAAGTCGGGTTCCAGTGGCGCTGCGAGTGCCGATGAGACGAGTTCAGGCGAGTTCGGAACTGCAGTCCACCCCAGCCGGAGTGAGAATACCTTCTGAGCAAGAAAGCCATTTGACGTTCGATGGAAAGGTGAGCACTACTCATTCAATTGTGAAAAGTTCAGCCACTAGAGCTGGTTCACTTTAAGCAGAACAGAGGCAACGCAAACGGCTTGCGAGGTCATCCGACATTCTCGAAGGCCTACTTGAGAAGGATTGTCGGCAATGCCTCTGCAAATCAGCTCTTTAGCAGCAAAAGAGCCTTCGCGACAGGATGCTCTTAGCGCGTCTGCTTGCCCTACTTCGGCAGGACGCAAGTTTTGCATTCTCGATTGTTTGCCAGCATTCTTCTCCATCTCCACGTGTGCATACAAAGCATACTTTTGTCAATGCAATAACACAAATCTGTTCCATTGTTCAATCCAGGTCGCGCGAGTCTGTGTCGTCGCCGAGCCCGCCTACCAACAAGAACCGGCCAGTCTTGCCCATTCACTGCCATTGAAGACTTCTCCAGACTTTCGGACTTTGTCTGAGGCCACCGACACTCGGGCCGCCTTTAAGATCTCGCTCTGGCTGAATCGACTGCATCTGCTCCTCTTCAGCCTCATTCCGTACACCGTCACGATCGTATGCAACCTGATCCTCATTCATCATCTGAGTCCCTGCGCCTGGCTGCACAGACGGCCTCATCCCAAGCAGACGACCCGGCCGGCCAGTGCTTCTGCCAGCCTCCACCTCTCGGCAGGTCATCGCATCACACCCAAACCCAAACTGACCGAACTGTCGCTAAGCAGACGCTGCGAGTCCAATCGACCGTCAAACGGTCGGCCAACCTTGACGTCGC